CGGCGACTGGCAGGCGGTGCTGCTGAGGAGCCCTGAAGTCACCGCGCTGGCGAAGCACGCGGCCGAGGTCACGATCAAAGAGACTGACGTGTGGGACGTGCACAGCGGTGAGTCGATGTAGACACTTGCATGGCATAGATTATGATGCATACACTGGCACCCATGGCATAGATTATGATGCATACACTGGCACCCATGGCATAGATTATGATGCATACACTGGCACCCATGGCATAGATTATGATGCATGCACTGGTACCCATGGCATAGATTATAATGCATGCACTGGTACCCATGGCATAGATTATGATGCAGACATTGGCACCCATGGCATAGATTATGATGCATACACTGGTACCCATGGCATAGATTATGATGCAGACATTGGCACCCATGGCATAGATTATGATGCATGCACTGGTACCCATAGCATAGATTATGATGCAGACATTGGCACCCATGGCATAGATTATGATGCATACACTGGCACCCATGGCATAGATTACTTAACAAGCACCAGCATATACAACATACATTACACGACGTACATCGCACACAAAACGGAGGAAGCGGCTTTAAAATTAAAGATCATTTTTGGATTAAAGATCATTTAAGCAACACAAGACCTACCGAAAAATTGGCCGCCAATGTTATTGTTTAGTCATCACGTGAAGTTTCTTTAGAAAGTTTTGTGAATGATTAATCCTTTTTTTTAATTTTCAAGCGTTATCTTTATCTCTAGAATATACATCATTACAATCCATCAATTTGAAATCATAGACATATTGAAATGATATAATATGCTTGGAGACTCAATTTCAATTTCTAATTGAATGAATAAGATCAAGATTCTTCTTTTTAAATCTTCTAAGTTCCAACACGTTATAGATCTAACAGTTGGATGTGGCAGAGAAAGCAACATCTATAATGAAGAAAAGATACGTTTTGTAAAAACTGTGCCAGAGCCCATATCTCGGAATGTTGCATCAGATGCTCTAAATCATACTGTATTGTACATGATTTGTGAATGAAATTGTTGGTTTGTCTCAATTGGAATGCTCGCTATTTGCGATTACAATGCCACCTTCACGTAGAAAGCATGGGATCTTATTAAGTAATAATTTCCGCCATTCACTAATTGGGTTGTGGTGACCTCAGGCCAGGCCTTTGCGTAGGGCAGCTCCGCAGCTCATAGTCAGAACATAGGCAGAAAAAACTGCAGGCAGAACACCTCTCAGAAAGCCGGAATATATTAGCTAGAAAGTGGTGAATAAATATACTAATTAGATAGGAGCGTATTTATTAATTATCAAGGGGTGAATAAATATATTAATTAGAAGCAGTCGTATTTTCAGAAGACAAACTAGGAGCTAATTGTAAAAGTAAAGAAATTAAGACAGAGAACCATATGTAAATATTTAATAAAAGAGAGAATTTGGTCATTTAATCCATAAAAGACGATCAAAATTGCAGATATCATGGTTGCTTTAAAAATATTACTATCAATGAAATTTATTTGTTCATGTATTTATTTATTTGTTTTTCCATCGTCAGTAAATAACACTTACGCTCCATTTTCTCCTTGCCCTCAATCAGAGTCTCCTCCATCCCATCCACTCTATTCTCTTTCTCACTCAAATGCTCCAAATGTCATCAGGTTCTTCACAGTTTCCTTCACATTCATATCACGCTTTTAAACTCTATTCACATTCAGCGCCCCTGCCTCACACCAATGTGGTTTGATGGAGCTGTGTTGCGTGGTTTGATGGCGCTGTGTTGCTTGGTTTGATGGAGCTGTGTTGCGTGGTTTGATGGAGCTGTGTTGCGTGGTTTGATGGTGCTGTACTGCGTGGTTTGATGGCGCTGTGTTGCTTGGTTTAATGACGCTGTGTTGTTGGTTTGATGGAGCTATGCTGCTTGGTTTGATTGAGCTGTGTTGCGTCGTTTGATAGAGCTGTGTTGCGTGGTTTGATGAAGCTGTGTTGCTTGGTTTGATGGAACTGTTTTGCGTGGTTTGATGGAGCTGTGTTGCTTGGTTTGATGGAGCTGTGTTGCTTGGTTTGATGGAGCTAGGTTGCTTGGTTAGATGAGGCTGTGTTGCTTGGTTTGATGGAGCTGTGTTGCGTGGTTTCATGGAGCTGTGTTGCGTGCTTTGATGAAGCTGTGTTGTGTGGTTTGATGGAGCTGTTTTGCGTGGTTTGATGGAGCTGTGTTGTCTGATTTGATGGAGCTGTGTTGAGGGGTTTGATGGAGCTGGGTTGCGTGGTTTGATGGAGCTGTGTTGCGTGGTTTGATGGAGCTGTGTTGCGTGGTTTGATGGAGCTGAGTTGCGTGGTTTGATGGAGCTGAGTCGCTTGGTTTGATGGAGCTGTGTTGCTTGGTTTGATGGAGCTGTGTTGCTTGATTTGATGGAGCTCTGTTACGTTGTTTGATGAAGCTCTTTTGCGCGGTTTGATGGAGCTGTGTTGCTTGGTTTGATGATGCGATGTTGCTTGGTTTGATGGAGCTGTGTTGATTGGTTTGATGAGGCTGTGTTGCGTGGTTTGATGAGGCTGTATTGCTTGGATTGATGTGGCTGAGTTGCTTGGTTTGTTGGAGCTGTGTTGCTTGATTTGATGGAGCTGTGTTACGTGGTTTGATGAAGCTGTTTTGCGTGGTTTGATGGAGCTGTGTTGCTTGGTTTGATGAGGCTGTGTTCTTGGTTTGATGGAGCTGTGTTGATTGGTTTGATGACGCTGTGTTGCGTGGTTTGATGAGACTGTGTTGCTTGGATTGATGTGGCTGAGCTGCTTGGTTTGATGGAGCTGTGTTGCTTGTTTGATGAAGCTGTGTTGCTTGGTTTGGTGAGGCTGTGTTGCTTGGTTTGATGAGGCTGTGTTGCTTGGTTTGACGAGGCTGTGTTGCTTGGTTTGAGGGAGCTGTGTTGCTTGGTTTGATGGAACTGTCTTGCTTGGTTTGATGAGGCTGTGTTGCTTGGTTTGATAAGCCTGTGTTGCGTGGTTTGATGGAGCTGGATTGCTTGGTTTGATGGAGCTGTTTTGCTTAGTTTGATGAGGCTGTGTTTTGTGGTTTGATGGAGCTGTGTTGCGTGGTTTGATGGAGCTGTGTTGTGTGATTTGATGGAGCTGTGTTAAGTGGTTTGATGGAGCTGTATTGCATAGTTTGATGGAGCTGTGTTGCTTGGTTTGATGGAGCTGTGTTGCGTGGTTTGATGGAGCTGTGTTGCGTGGTTTGATGAAGCTGTGTTGCTTGATTTGATGGAGCTGTGTTGCTTGGTTTGATGGAGCTGTTTTGCGTGGTTTGATGGTGCTGTGCTGCGTGGTTTGATGGAGCTGTGTTGCTTGGTTTGATGGAGCTGTGTTGCGTGGTTTGATTTAGCTCTACGGCGTGGTTTGATGGAGCTAAGTTCTGTGGTTTGATGAATGGATTAGGGTTCGAATATTGGTCTGCTTACTTATATTGATAGTTTGTGACTCAATTGATCGAATTCAAATATACATAAATTGTCTTTTCAGATGTGAGAAATGTACATTTTTAAGCCTACAAGAATTTTTGTTCTCCGTATTAAATTGCGTTGCCTGTTGAATGGCGAACATATCAATGCTGTTGCTATTTTGAACTCGAAACCTCGGAGCCGTAGTCGACAACTTTTGATCTGAACCATCGATCGGGTGAGTAACACCAATGCTAGTTTCACTCACACGTGTTACTACAAGTGAATAGTTATTCCCTATGATGTCATAAACGTGGTGAAAATCTGAGTAATTCACGCTCTGTGGTGTCGTGGAAGTAGTGCAAGTGGGAGCATCTCCTGTACTTTAGTGTCCAAGATATAGTGCAGGTGGCGTGAGTCCCTCAGCCACTGCGATGTCCTAAATGTAGTGCAGGTGACATTAGTCTCACGCTCCATGATGTCCTAAATGTAGTGCAGGTGACATTAGTCTCACGCTCCATGATGTCCTAAATGTAGTGCAGGTTTCTTGACTTACTTTCGTTCCTTGACTCACTTTTGTTCCTTGACTCACTTTCGTTCCTTGACTCACTTTTGTTCCTTGACTCACTATTGTTCCGTGACTCACTTTCGTTTCTTGATTCACTTTTGTTTCTCGACTCTTTTTTGTTTCTCGACTCACCTTCGTTCCTTGACTCACTTTCATTCCATGACTCACTTTCGTTTCTTGACTCACTTATGTTCCTTTACTCACTTTTGTTCCCTGACTCACTTTTGTTCTATGACTTACTTTTGTTCCTTGACTCACTTTTGTTCTTTGACTCCCTTTCGTTCCTTGATTCACTTTCGTATCTTGACTTACTTTCGTTCCTTGACTCACTTATGTTACTTGACTCACTTTCGTTCCTTGACTCACTTTTGTTCCTTGACTCTTCATTGTTCCTTGACTCACTTTCGTTTCTTGACTCACTTTTGTTTCTCGACTCACTTTTGTTTCTCAACTCACTTTCATTCTTTGACTCACTTTTGTTCTTTGACTCCCTTTTGTTTCTTGACTTACTTCCAATCCATGACTAACTTTTTTCCTCGACTCACTTTCGTTCCTTGACTCACTTTCGTTTCTTTACTCACTTTAGTTTCTTGACTCACTTATGTTCCTTGACTCACTTATGTTCATTGAATCACTTTTGTTCATTGACTCACTTTTGTTCCTTGATTCACTTTTGTTCCTTGACTCACTTTCGTTCCTAGACTCACTTTTGTTCCTTGACTCCCTATTGTTCCTTGACTCACTTTCGTTTCTTGACTCAATTATGTTTCACGACTCACTTGTGTTTGTCGACTCACTTTCGTTCCATGACTCACTTTTATTCCATGACTCACCTTCGTTTCTTGACTCATTCTTGTTCCTTGACTCACTTTTGTTCCATGACTCACTTGCATTCTTTGACTCACTTTCGTTATTTGACTCCCTTTTTTTATTTGACTCACGTATGTTGATTGAAACACTTCTGTTATTTGACTCACTTTTGTTGTTTGACTCACTTATGTTGTTTGACTCACTTGTTGTTTGACTCACTTTTGTTGCGAATCAAAGATCATTTTAACTTGAAATATAGAGTAAAGAATGCCCTTTTCAAGTATATTGGCTGTATAATTTTGATTCTAATATTTTTTACACATAAATTTAGCTTCACTTACGTTCCTTGACTCACTTTTGTTCCTTGACTCACTTTGTTCCTTGACTCACTTATGTTTCCCGACTCACTTGTGTTTCTCGACTCACTTTCGTTCCTTGACTCACTTTCATTCCATGACTCACTTTCGTTTCTTGACTCTTTTGTTTCTTAACTCACTTTTGTTCCATGACTCACTCTCATTCTTTGACTCACTTTCGTTATTTGACTCACTTTTGTTGTTTGACTCACGTATGTTGTTTGAAACACTTCTGTTATTTGAATCACTTGTGTTGTTTGACTCACTTATGTTGTTTGACTCACTTTTGTTGCGAATCAAACATCATTTTATCTTGAAATATAGAATAAAGAATGCTCTTTTCAAGTAAATTGGCTGTATAATTTTGATTCTAATTTTTTCTACACAAAAATTTAGCCTCACTTATGTTCCTTGACTCACTTTCATTCTTTGACTCACTTTTGTTCTTTGACTCCCTTTCGTTCCTTGACTCACTCTCGTTCCTTGACTCACTCTCGTTTCTTGACTCACTTTAGTTTCTTGACTCACTTATGTTCCTTGACTCACTTTTGTTCCTTGACTCACTTTTGTTCCTTGACTCACTTTTCTCGTTTCTTGACTCACTTTTGTTCCTTGACTCACTTATGTTCCTTGACTCACTTTTGTTCCTTGACTCACTTTTGTTCCTTGACTCGCTTTCATTCTTTGATTCACATTTGTTTCTTGACTCCCTTTCGTTACTTGACTCACTTCTGTTCCTTGACTCACTTTTGTTCTCTGACTGTCTTATGTTCCTTGACTCACATTCAATCTTTGACTCACTTTTGTTCTTTGACGCCCTTTCGTTCCATGACTCCCTTTCGTTTCTTGACTCACTTTAGTTTCTTGACTCACTTATGTTCCTTGACTCATTTTTGTTCATTGACTCACTTTTGTTCATTGACTCTCTTTTGTTCCTTGACTCACTTATGTTTCTTGACTCCCTTTCGTTCCTTGACTCACTTTCGTTTCTTGACTAACTTTAGTTCCTTGACTCACTTATGTTCCTTGACTCACTTTTGTTCGTTGACTCACTTTTGTTCCTTGACTCTCATTTGTTCCTTGACTCACTTTATTCTTTGACTCACTTTTGTTCTTTGACTCCCTTTCGTACCTTGACTCACTTTCGTTTCCTGACTCACTTAAGTTTCTTGGCTCACTTATGTTCCTTGACTCTTATGTTCCCTGACTCACTTCGTTCCTTGACTCACTTTTGTTCATTGACCCACTTTCATTCTTTGACTTACTTTCATTCTTTGACTCACTTTTGTTCTTTGACTCCCTTTTGTTTCTTGACTTACTTTCGTTCCTTGACTCACTTTTGTTCCTTGACTCACTTTCGTTCCTTGACTCACTTTTGTTCCTTGACTCACTATTGTTCCTNACTCACTTATGTTCCTTGACTCACTTATGTTCTTTGACTCCCTTTTGTTTCTTGACTTACTTTCAATCCTTGACTCACTTTTCTTCCTTGACTCACTTTCGTTCCTTGACTCACTTTCGTTCCTTGGCTCACTTTCGTTTCTTGACTTACTCTTGTTCCTTGACTCACTTTCGTTCCTTGACTCACTTTCATTCCATGACTCACTTTCGTTTCTTGACTCACTTTTGTTCCTTGACTCACTTTTGTTACTTGACTCACTTTTGTTCTTTGACTCCCTTTCGTTCCTTGACTCACTTTCGTATCTTGACTCGCTTTTGTTCCTTGACTCACTTATGTTCCTTGACTCACTTATGTTCCTTGACTCACTTTTGCTCCTTGACTCTATTCCAGCATGGCCTTTAACCCACTGCAGGTCAACAGTCACTCCAGGTGTAGACTGCAGGGCCGTTAAGCGTGCGCGGATCTCATATACAATAGATGTGCAAGATGTGCTTGGGGACCCTATGAGTTGCAAGCCTGACTTGGAATCAGAACATATCACCCACTGTGCAGGTGCCCTCCCAGATATCATGACAAGTGCCTGCAGAATAGCATTTAGTTCAGCAAAAAGTATACTATGCATCGGGCGCAGGCGCTAAGCCACAGCCCGAGCCTCATCTGGTATGTATATTCCGCAGGCAGTTGATGAGTTGTCTCCCTGCCGCGAGCCATCACAAAAGATTCTGCGGTGGTGCGGGTAATTTTCCTTCATGTGTATCTTAAATCCGTGAGCAAGATCGATACCTCCAGGTAATTGAGGGTCAATGCAGGTCTTAGGTTGTATAGGGGACCAATGGGGAATTGGGTCAACCTGTGCCAGGTGGGAACGCCGGCATCTTGGTTCTCCAAATAGCTGCAGTAGTCCTGCTCCTGTTGCCAGAGCAGATGTGTCAACTTCAGGTCCATGACTCAGTATTTCCGCTGTGATGTCACCTCTGGGGCGATGCATGATTTTCAAATGCCACTGTGCTCCAAGGAACTCGCGTCGCAATGATAGGGGAGGCACCCTTGCTTCCACCTGCAATGATATGATTGGGCTGGTTTTTCTTGCCCCCAATATGAGTCGAAGACAGGTATTTTGGATAACATCCAGTGTTCTTAAAAGGTTGGGGGAGGCAGCCGCATATAGGGAACTGCCGTAGTCTACCCTAGCACGTATGCAGGGTTGGTGATTTTTTGATTTTTTAAAAAAATAAAAAATTGAAGCCATCCATTATGACCATATAATGGATGGCTAAAAAGGGCACTTATTGCCTTCAATAATGGCCAACAGGCCAAGGTGGTGTTTACCACTTAGGTATTTTTGGGTAAACAATTATTGACAAGTCTATTCATTAGCTTTGTAAAGCTTGTATGGAGCAAGGCAATGAGCTAAATATTGACCATTTAACTGGCTTCAATATACAAAAACCCTTCAGGAATGCAGATCTTCTAAACATTGAAGTCACATAACAGATAGGTAGCTGATAGCACAGTGCACAGCAGTATCAATAGATCTACTACCGGTAATTTTATGTCCTAAAAATCTATCAGACTCTACCCTCTATACACACTGACTAGTAGTGACTCGGTGACTGAGTGACTGACTGCACTGTTCCCATTTAATTCAGACCAATAAACCAATACTAAACATAAACTGAACAATAACCAAACAAACCTCATTGACGTGTAACAAGACCTAAGTTATGAGAAAAGCTAACACTGCTTGAAACAAACATGTGCACAATTCAAATATTTTATATCAATTCACTGCATTTAATTATTTTCTACATATTCTTATAATTGTAATTGTTTTGTTTCTAGTTTTAAATTCACATATTCAAAGATTGAAATTAAATATCTTAATTAGAATACTTGTATTAGGGTGGAAAATCTTTCTAATTGCCTATAAGGTCAATACAATCTCAACCTCTCAATATACAGGGTGGGGCAGAACCGATTGAGCAGTTTTGAGGTAAAATAAAAGAGTAATGGAGGTACATAAAGAAAAAAGTTTATTTTCCTAGAGGTTAGCATAACATACCATTTAGAATATACTTATGTTTTGAAAACAATATCTGGAAGATGGGGGCCGTTAGCTGCAACACACTGTTGGAGTCATTCTCAGAGGAGGGAGTAACCGTAACAGTGAATTCCGATCGCTATGCTGCAATGCTGCAAAATTTCTTGCAGCCCAGGATGGAAAACATTGTTGAAAATGAAGCATTGGGAGACGTGTGGTTCCAGCAGGATGGGGCTACAGCTCACACAGCCCGAATGTCACTCAATGTTTTGAAACGCATGTTTCCCGGACGTCTGGTGTCTCTGAGGGGTGATTTACAGTGGCCTGCGAGGTCACCTGATTTGAGCATTTGCGATTTCTTTCTTTAGGGACATCTAAAAGAAAGGGTGTTCAGAAGTCTCCCTCACACCCTGCCACAGCTAAGGGAACAGATTATTGTAGCAGAGGTTTTGGCCATACCTTGCCATATGTGTGAACGTGCTGTAGAAAACTTACAAGAATGACTCCAACAGTGTGATGCAGCTAACAAACCCCATCTTCCTGATATTGTTTTCAAAACAAAAGTATTTTAAATGGTATGTTATGCTAATCTTGAGAAATATAAACTTTTTTCTTTATGTACCTCCATTACTCTTTTATTTCGCCTCAAAACTGTTCAATCAGTTCTGCCCCACCCTGTATAAGCTACCTAACACATTTAAATTGTATATTGCAATCAATATATAACAAATACTAAAATAGTCATAGACTATACTTATATCCTTATAAGAATTAGCTAAGCTGCTAGCTACGTACAATGTATTGCACACTTGATGCCTCTGTACCAAAAACATTCAATTTATTGAAACCTAATAGACACTAAAGGCAACAAGTTTATATACCAATTTGTCATTCATAGTACATTTATACTAAACCATGAATAACAATACCTCAATATAAATTAAAGACTGCCACTCAATATACTTAGATATATGAAAAAATCAAAAAAATCAAAAAAATAAAAAAAAAATCACGATTTTTTATAAAAAAATCAAGTGATTTAATCACATGATTTAATCATTTTGATTAATCATTGCCAACCCTGCACGTATGTATGCAAGATAGAAGGTTCGCAGGAATTTAGCACTTGCACCCCAGTTTGGGGATGCTAAATGTTTCATTATCCCAATGCGCTTCAATGCATCACTTCTGAGAGCTGTGATGTGAGGACCCCATCTGAGTCGCGGGGCGTCGAAAGTCATTCCCAGTACTCAATGCTGCCGCACATAGAGCAGAGGGCGATGGTTGTACCTTAATACTGGGATATTGATTCGCTTTTTCGTGAAGTATTGGAAAGTTGTTTTTTCCACATTAACTGCAAGACCCCAAGTGTCACAGAAGTTCAGGAGAAGGTCAAGGTATTGTTGAATAGTGCGTTTTGTTTCAATCAAGGTGGGGCTCTGGCATGCTATTGTTATGTCGTCTGCATAGATATGAGTGGAGACTCCAGGTAGCTGTGGGAGATCCCTGAGCATAAGATTGAATAGCAGTGGGCTGAGCACCGAGCCCTGGGGCAGGCCTGATGCCAAGAGGCATGTGTCTGATAATACCCCCCGCAGTCTGACTTTCACCTTGCGGTCCATTAAATAGTTATGTAGCCATCTTGCTAAAGGACCAGAAATCCCTGCTAGAGCTATTTTATACAGCAAGCCAGGTATCCAAACCTCAGTAATAAATGGCAGGCGGCTGCGACCCCGAATAAAGCTCCGCGTCGTAAGGCTACAATCGAAAAGTGCAAGTCGTACGCGTACTGGACGCGACAGGCAGCGTGGAGCTGGCTCATGATTCATGAATACCATTTGCATGGATACACTGAGAATTGGACTCTGTTAATGCTCTTGCGTTGTTATACATATTCATTTGCTTGGTTTACCTCTGTCTACTCAGAAAAATGAATAAGTCATATTGTCAAAATAGGGACTCACTATCCGCACGTACTACTGATATGTACGCCCTTTTCACGGGCCAAACTGGGTCAAGATATCACTCTAAAAGGCAAAATTTGCACCGACATTTGTTCATAGTCTCACTCATTTTTCTGAGTACACAAATTTTGAACAACTGGTACACACGTAGTGTATACCAAGGTGTAAATGAATGGGGATAAATGCTATCATTTGGTCCCACGAATTACATGGTCGGTCCACATGTACAGAGAATTCCGGTAACAGGCTAAAAAATAATTTGTCGTTCGTTGAT